AAAAACTCAAAAGATAAGAACAACATGTTTTTTAAGCACATCAGAAGCAGGAAGCCTGCTAAACAACCAGTGGGGCCCCTGGACAATCAAGATGCAAAAGGAGCACTTAAAGATGATAAAGTCATTGTGGAGAAACTAAATGAATTCTTTGCTTCAGTCTTCACGGCTGAGGATGTTAGGGAGTTTCCCAAACCTGACTCATCCTTTGTAGGTGACAAATCTGAGGACTTGTCACAGACTGAAGTGTCGTTAGCGGAGGTTTGGAATTAATTAATAAACTTAACAGTAACAAGTCACCGGGACCAGATGGCATTCACCCAAGAGTTCTGAAGGAACTCAAATGTGAAATTGCGGAACTATTAACTATAGTTTGTAACCTATCCTTTAAATCAGCTTCCGTACCCACTGACTGGAAGATAGCTAATGTAACGCCAATATTTAAAAAGGGCTCTAGAGGTGATCCCAGCAATTACAGACTGGTAAGTCTAATGTCAGTACCGGGCAAATTAGTTGAAACAATAATAAAGAATAAAATTGTCTGACACATAGAAGAACATAATTTGTTGGGCAAAAGTCAACATGGTTTCTGTAAAGGGAAATCATGTCTTACTAATCTATTAAGAGTTCTCTGAGGGGGGTCAAACAAACATGTGGACAAGGGGGATCCAGTAAATATAGTGTACTTGGATTTCCAGAAAGCCTTTGACAAGGTCCCTCACCAAAGGTTCTTAAGTAAAGTAAGTTGTCATAGGATAAGAGGGAAGGTCCTTTCATGCATTGATAACTGGTTAACAGAGAGGAAACAAAAGGTAGGAATAAATGGTAAGTTTTCCTAGTGCAGAGAAATAACTAGCAGGGTCCCCCAAGGGTCTGTCTTGGAACCCATACTATTCAACTTATTTATAAATGATCTAGAGAAAGGGGTAAACAGTGAGGTGGCAAAATTTTCAGACACTAAGATAGTTAAGACCAAAGCAGACTGCGAAGAGCTTCAAAAAGATCTCACCAAACTAAGTGACTGGGCAACAAAACAGCAAATGAAATTTAATGTTGATAAATGTAAAGTAATACACATAGAAAAAAAATAACCCCAACTATATATACAGACAATATGATGGGGACTAATTTAGTCAAAGAGACCTTGGCATCATCGTGGATAGTTTGCTGAAGACGTCCACGCTGTGTGCAGCGGCAGTCAAAAAAGCAAACAGGATGTTAGGAATCATTAAAAAAGGGATAGAGACTATGATGGAGCATATCCTATTGCCCTTATATAAATCCATGGTATCCCCACATCTTGAATACTGCATACAGATGTCGTCTCCTCATCTTAAAAAAGGTATACTGGTGTTAGAATAGGTTCAAAGAAGGGCAACTAAAATGATTAGGGGTTTGGAACGGGTCCCATATGAGGAGAGATTAAAGAGACTGGGACTTTTCAGCTTGGAAAAGAGGAGACTAAGGGGGGGGGGGGGTATGATAGAGGTATATAAAATCATGAGTGGTGTGAAGAAAGTGAATAAGGAAAAGTTATTTACTTGTTCCCATAATATAAGAACTAGGGGTCACCAAATGAAACTAATGGGCAGCAGGTTTAAAACAAATAAAAGGAAGTTTTTCTTCACATGGCGCAAAGTCAATCTGTGGAACTCCTTGCCTGAGGAGATTGTGAAGGCTAGGACTAACTAGATAAATTCATGGAGGTTAAGTCCATAAATGGCTATTAGCTAGTATGGGTAAGGAATGGTGCCCTAGCCTCTGTTTGTCAGAGGGTGGAGATGGATGGCAGAGGAGAGATCGCTTGATCATTATCAGTTCGATTCACTCCCTCTGAGACACCTGGCATTGGCCACTGTCAGCAGACTGGGCTGGATGGACCTTTGGTCTAACCCAGTATGGCCATTCTTATGTTCTTATGTACTGAGGATTCAATCTAACTGGTACCTTGAAAGATACTGGAACAAATTATTAAACAATCTATGTGTAAACATCCAAAATCTATCAAGAACAAAAATTATGCCAAACCAACCTAATGATCTATTTAAGAGGTTATTGGCGTAGTGGATGGGAGAGAAACTAGTAACAAAAACTTTAGTTTTAGTAAGTCTTTTGACAGTCCCATGGCATGGCTAAGGGAGGGAGGGAAGAGGGTGCAGGTATCTGGGAAAGAGGGAGGCCCTGTGGCTGGGCTTCTGAAGGAGAAGATGGTTTGGGTATATTGGTTTATGGGTCCCCTGCAGCTGAGTCCTTTGGGGGCGGGGGTAGATCATGGGGTAACTGTCTCCTTGGCTTGGGGAGAAAACAAGCAGAGAGACTAGGGATGTAAGTGTGTACCTGTTTACACAATTAACTGAGGACCCTGGACTCCTCAGTTAATCCTGTTACATGCAGCCTCCCACCTGCTGCCTTTGTATCAGAGGCAGATGGGGGTGGGGGGAGGGGGGGAAGAGAGAAACGGGAGCCAGTGTGCCTGGGCCTGGTTCCTGCATGCCTGCCCCCCCATGTAAACATGTGAAGTCTGTAAATTTCAGTGGTTACACATTTACAAAAGTAAACACATTTTAACATCCAAGAGAAACAGGAACTGGGATCACATCAGGTTTCAAGAAAGATGTGGAGAAATTGGAAAGGGTACAGAGAAGAGCGACAAGAATGATTAAAGGTCTAGAGAACATGACCTATGAAGCCAGGCTTCATGAACTGGGCTTGTTTAGTTTGGAAAAAAGAAGATTAAGGGGGGACATGATAGCGGTTTTCAAATATCTAAAAGGGTCTCACAAGGAGGAAGGAGAAAATTTGTTCCTCTTGGTTTCTGAGGACAGGACAAGGAGTAATGGGCTTAAAGTGCAGCAGGGGAGGGTTAGATTGGACATTAGGAAAAAATTCCTAACTGTCAGGGTGGTCAAATATTGGAATAAATTGCCAAGGGAGGTGGTGGAATCTCCCTCTCTGGAGATATTTAAGAACAGGTTAGATAGACATCTGTCAGGGATGGTGTAGACGGAGCTTGATCCTGCCTTGAGGGCGGGGGGCTGGACTCGATGACCTCTCGAGGTCCCTTCCAGTCCTATTATTCTATGATTCTTAACTCTCTACTCCTTGGACAATTTTTTGTGCATCTGTTACAGACATACTTGCTGACAGGTACTTTGAAATAAATTACTACAGTAACTGAAACTGGCATGATTATGTAGTGTTATCTTGACAAAGTTTGCAGAATTTTAAGATAATGTGCATTTTTAAAAAATGTTTTGGTGAAGAATGCCCCCAGAAGTAAGCAAACAGGAACATCATATGTAAGAGACAGAAAAGTGGTAGTGATGAGGCCTCAGCTAGACTACAATGTCCAATTCTGGGCTCCATCCCTCGGAATAGTAGTCTTCAGAGGAGAGAAACAAAAATAAGTTTAGAAAACATGATCCAGGCAGAAAGATAAAAAGTTAGGCATGTTTAATCTTAAAGTGACTGGGGAGCCTGATATTCTTCAAATATGCAGAGTTATTATAAAGAGGACTGATGAATTGTTCTCTGTGTCTACTAAAGGCAGGAAAAATAGTAATGGACTTAATCTACAGCAAGAGAAATTTAGGTTAGTTATTAGGAAAAGCTTTCTAATTTTAAGGATAGGTAACATCTGAAGTAGACTTCCAAGAAAGACTAGAAGTCAGTGCTGGAGGCTTTTTTAAGAAAAGGTTGGACAAATCCGTCAGGGATGGTCTAGGGCAGTGTTGGGCAACTTGCAGCCCACTGGGGCTCCACCTGCAGCCCACAGACTCCGTCTGCCACCCCTCTCCTATGCATCTCATGTGCAGAATCCATACATTTACCTATTCCCCCCATGCCACGCACACACATTCAGAATGCACAAATCACCCGACTCATGGTCTGTCCCCGCTTCTCTTCCTCCTCCCTCCCCAGAACTGGAACACAACGGCTTTGTCCTCACTAATGAATTTTTGCAAGAGCTTCCACTATTGGTTACAACATTGAGAGCTCTACTTTAGACCAGAAATTGGTATTTTAAATATTTGGTCCTCTACGTTTTCTTGAAGCATTTTTAGTCAACAGTGTGCTTGGAACTACAGCACCTTGTCCTCATTAGGCCAACATTGTTATCCTCATGAAGCTGACCTCAATGTTAGCTGGGATAGGAAATCTTTGCAAAAACTTCCCAAATGCTCAAGGGCTGAGAACAGATGTCTCTTCCATATTTTTCAAAATATCTCCCTCAGAAATAATGTCTGAAGTATTAGCTTGATCTGCCTTCTTAGATTCTCTGGATGCGCCCCCACAACATGAGCTATGTCCCAAACCTCTTTCCATCACTACCTCAAACTGAATGTATGATCATTAGCATGTAAATTGTTCAGAAACAAATTTGCTACTGATTAAAGTTAATATCATTTGGAATGTGTCCTCCCTAGCAAATGTTTTTCAAATTAAGTTTATTTTATTTTTGTATATTATCCCTTGAAATTGATTAGTCATGTAATGACATTAGTTTAAAGGTGTAACACATCAGCTTGAATGATCAACCCCAAAAGAAAAGTTAAGTTATTTTAGGTACTACATTATTCAAGTCCTGCCAGCTATTTGTGGTTTTTCAAACATATTTTAGGGGGAAGAAGATGAGGTCTTTGTTTTAAATAAAGCGTTCCCCTCCCCTCACAGTTGCTGTATGAAAGTGTAACAAAATAAACGAGACAACTATGAAATCAACAAAGCACGTACACAGGATAAACAATCTGAAGAATTGAGAAAAAAATATTTTGTGTTCATAAACTTAGATCTTATTGTACAATGGAAGAAAGGATTTCACACAATTATAATTAGTGACTGTGTACTTTTATGCTAACCTTCTGGAGGCAGACATTTTAACTAGGTAGCTTTAAAAAAAAAAAAAAGACGTGTTCACTGGGAAACATGAGGATATACAATACATTTTTTCCTTTGCCAAATGAGTGTTAATATCACTCAAAAGATGAACTTAAAGGGCTTACTGTGCCTGGCCTGTTGTATAGGAGTTTGTGTAGATTTCTGAGTTCATCTGTTTTCTTCTTACTCAAAAAAAATTGTATCCTTTCAATTTCGCAAAGCTTTTGTCCCTTTCCTGAAAGAATTAAAACAAGTTTTGTTGTGCTGCTCATTCACATTCTTCAAAATGACACATATATGTATAGTATTTATTTTAAATACATCAAGTGTTCAAAACTGAAGTATCTGAGGTAGAAGGGTAAAATTATTTTACTACTAGACTAAAAAATTCAAATGGTAGAGGACTGCCTGTTGATTTAACTGGCTAGCAACCTTTAGCAAATGCTTATTGCACAGTCAACACACTAATCCAGTGGTCAGCAACCAATAGATCGAGATCTAATGGTAGATCTTGGAGCCTTGACTGGTTTGGTCAAGAAGCAGTCAAGGGCTGGCACTTCTGCTGCCTCTCCCCCCACTGCTGTGCAACTCCTGCCCTTTGCCTTGAAGCTGTTCCCTCTCCCACTCTGTATTCTATCGCCACAGAATGGGGAAGAGGGGCACAACAGGATTTGAGATGGAGGTAGCTTGCTGGCTGCTTTGGGAGTGGTGCAAGGCCAGGTTAGGGGTGAACCTGCCTCAGTCCTACTGCACCACTGCACAGGAGCCACCTGTAGTAAACAGTGTCCAGCTGGAGCCTGCATCCTGAATCCCTATCCAGTCATGAACCCTCTCCTTTACCCCAAGTCCCTGCTCCAGCCCAGAGTACCCCATGACCCGGACTCCCTTACAGAGCCTTACCCTGAACCACCTACTGCACCCCAACCCCTGACCCAAGCTCAGGGCCGTTCTCAAACTCCAAATCCCTTAGCCAAAAACCAAAGCCTGCACCCCAGCCCACTAATCCTGTTTTACGAAAGGAAGGAAAGAAGGATGGAGTGAGCAGGTGCAGCAGGGCCTTGGAGAAGGGGCACGAAGGAAGTGGGGCAAAAGTATTTGGGTTTGAGGTAGATCCTGGATTACACTTAAATTAAAAAATGATCTCATATTTTAAAAGGATGGAGACCACTACACTAGCCGCTTCTCCACTTCCTTGCTGTCTCTATCAAAAAGAGGCAGTGGGAGGGGGGAGTGCTTCAAAGTGGCAACCCTGTATGGAGCCGGAGCCAGACCCTGGGCTCCACGCGGTGCTGCTGCTTTGAAACACTGTGTGGAGCCCAGGATCAGCTGGAGAGTCCCCAGCTGGCCTGGGCTGCACATGGCGTTTCAAAGCAGCAGCACTGCATGGAGCCCAGGGTCAGTGGGGGGGGAGGAGGGACATGACTCCCCAGTTGACCCTGGGCTCCGTTTGGCGCTGCTGCTTTGAAATGTCATGGGGAGCCCAGGGCCAGCAAAGGACTGCTTGAGTCCCCCACTGGCCCCTTGCTCCCTGCAGCACTTTCACCTTTGAAGTGTAGCAACAGCTCTGGGGCTGTTGCTAAACTTCAAAGGCAGAGGCACCATTATCAACTAATCGAATAGTTGATGCAAATTGCATCAACTATTCGATTAATTGGCTAATCTAAATTTAACATCCCTAGATTACGCAAGCTTTTTTTATTCCAGCAGCTTTGCTTTCACAAACAGTGGCTATGTATTACATGCTTCACTGATATCAGGTTAAAATGTACTTTGTTCAAGTATCTCAACATTTTTAATGGAGTTACAGAAAAGCCTTTAAATAATTAGTCATTTTATTAGCCATTCTTTTAGTTAAAAAAAAAGAAATCAAAACCCTACTTTTAAGATTTATAAATTATTCATAAATAAATCATTGTAAGAAGTCTAATCATTCACTTCTAGTTAGCACAATTACAGTTCTAAAGTAAGTGGACAAACTTGCCTGGTGCAATTGTAAAAGGTTCCCTTTGTAACGAGGATACCTGCATGGTCAATCTCTCTACTTTTTTCTTCTCTCTCTTCCCTTCAACAATGAGACTCTTTTCTGCAAAAGTAACAACATTTCCCAAACAGTAAGACAAACACTGAACTGCACTACTATCACAAGGAGAGAAGGAAAAACTCAACACATCTAAAGCATGCTATAGTGGATACCTTGAGAAAGACCTAATTAGGACACATTACACACAATCTCTCTATATAAAAATGTTTTTCCTGTAAGATGGGGTTCCGCCTCCCCGCGCCCTCAGCAGTCCTGCCTCCTCCCTCCTTCCCCAATGCCACAAGACCTCCCTTCTCCATGGTACTCTGGCAGGGCGGGAGTCATGTGTCCTTCCTCCTCCTGGGGGAAGAGGTGGAAGCCGTGTGCCCTCCCCCCCTTCCCAGTGCTTCAGGGGGTGGGAGCTGTGAGCTGCATGCCCTCCCTGTCACATACCCCCTCGGCCAAGACCTCTCTTCCTCAGCCCCTTCACAAACTCCCTTGGCCGAGACCCCGCACACCCAGCTAGCTCACTCATACCTCCATAACTTGAGACCCTGCACCCCCAGTCCTCTCACTCACCACCCTGTCAAAACCTTGTACCCCTATACCTCTCACTCACCCTTTCCACCAAGACCCCACAGCCCCAGCCTGCTCTCTCTCTCCTGGCCAGACACCTCCCCACAGCCTGCTCTTGCACCTTCCCCCCAGCCAGACACCTATCCCCGGAGCGGAGGGACTGGCAAGCATAGAGAGCAGTGGGCACAGCCCCTTAGTTTTGGTGTAAAATGCTAGTTTGAACTAAGAACAGCCCCAAATATCTTATAATTTACTTAACCAAGAGACTTATAGAACTGATTTGCAACTGACTGGAGTCACACCTGCTGAAAACTGATATACAGATATAATAAAAGTAGATTTGGATGTAGTCTCTATACAAGCCTATTGATGAGATCCTATGTTTAATTAAGTTGTGGCATCTCAGCCACACTCCAGAATGTAGACTCCCTGTTTAGTGAATCCTCTTGAGATGTGGGGCTCTGCACCTTGGCCCCACAGAACCAGTACTGACCTCCCATAGACTAAATAAGCTCTCCCCAAAGTCCACCCACGGGGGCACTACAGTCTAACTGTTCAGAGATTACACGAAAATCAAAGCAAAGAATTCATAATTAACTTATTAACCTTACTCACTTTGCTCAGAGAAAATTACAAGAGTTACAGCTTTATGGATGAACAAGAAATATTCTCCCTCCAATGTCCACATCACTCCTGAAGTTTTTTTGGTCAGTGTTCTCAAGGGTATCCCAGCACTGATGTCTGCTCAGAAAGCCACTCCCTTAAACCAAACCTAGAACATCTTTTACTCTCTCACACAGATTTTCCATTATCGAGCGGAACTTAAAACTAGCAGCTCACGAATGTGTAAGAGTTAGTCTCTCTGATGGTAGCTTCTACTGTCCTATCAATACAATGCCATTGATTAATGGTCAGCAATGACATACACATTTAAAGTCAAACTCAGAAGCACAATGCTCTCCCTAACACAAGAGAGCTGAGGACCACACTGTTCTGGACTAGTATGCAAGGAATTGAATAAGGCTCAATACTATCATATCACAGGCAGTGGTTGTTAAACACAAGAACTTTCCTTCTCAGCAGATAAAAGTATCTCTTAACGTAGTCTTCTCTTGATGAGACAAAGAGCTTTATTTTTTTCAGATGAGTTTATTCTGATAGCTTCTACTGGATTCCCAGAATAGAAGCTACTTGTGAAGCTCCATCAAGGGGCAACTCTGTCTGTAACTGCAAACTTCTTCTCTGTCAAGTAAAGAGCAACCAGGAATTTATCTTTGGACTGCCCACCACAATAACATCAGTTACATGGCTACACAAGAGTACATGGGATGCTTCCTTCCATTGTAATAGGATCTAGAGAGTATCAGAGGGGTAGCCGTGTTAGTCTGAATCTGCAAAAGCAACGAGGAGTTCTGTGGCACCTTACTGACTAACGGAAGTGTTGGAGCATAAGCTTTCGTGGGCAAAGACACACTTTATCAGATGCATGTAGTAGAAATTTCCAGAGGCAGGTATAAATATGCAGGCCAGAATCAGGCTAGAGATGATGAGGTGGATCCAATCAGGGAGGATGAGGCCCACTTCTAGTAGTTGATCTGGAGGCGTGAATACCAAGAGAGGAGAAGCTGCTTTTGTAGTTAGCGAGCCATTCACAGTCTTTGTTTAATCCTGACTTGATTGTGTCAAACTTGAAGATGAACCATAGCTCAGCAGTTTCTCTTTGAAGTCTGGTCTTGAAGTTTTTTTGCTGCAGGATGGCTACCTTTAGATCTGCAATAGTGTATCCAGGGAGATTGAAGTGTTCCCCTCCGGGTTTTTGTATCTGACAAAGTGGGTCTTTGCCCTCGAAAGCTTATGCTCCAACACTTCTGTTAGTGTATAAGGTGCCACAGGACTCCTCGCCGCTTTTGCAGGATCTAGAGACTGTCTTATGTGTAGATATGCCCCACAACTACCACGAATGTAGCGAGTCACATTAAAATAAAGGAAATTTCCTAAAATTAAGTTATGAAGCCTAATAAAATAAACTTAGATTTTTATAATCTAGGCATTAGGAAATATCTGTTCAGAGTCATCCTCCCTCTCGCATTCCTAAAGCTATTATAATTTGTTATATTTCAATCATCTTTGAAAATTAATTATTCCAAAGAATTATTGTTAAATAGCCTGACACTGACACCCAATTCAAAACTTGTTTTTTAAATCTTCCCCATTCTTTGGATGTGTACCTACCTTTTTCTTCTTCCTCCTCCTCCTCCTCCTCCTCCTCTTCCTCTTCATCACTTCCCTCAACTTTGTTTTCAGTTTCAGGTTCTCTCTCACCTGCTTGTTCAGCAGACATTGCATCTTCTTTTGATGAAGACATAGTGGATGTTTCTGTAGGACACAATTGAACTGTCAATGTTATCACAACATCTAAGTAAAATACTTGAATCCATAGAGACAGTGCTTTTTTGGTTAAAAAAAAAAAAAAAGGGGCCAGTACTCCAGGGGAAAAGTTGTTGAGCTCTGACTGGAGGTGCTGATACTGCATCTGGAGGTGCCAGTACTGCGTACCGGACAGTCCTGTCACAAAAAAAGCACTGCATAGAGGTACGGCAGAAGTCAGATTTTTTTTAAATATCTGTGATGAATATATTGGGATTTAAGCTTTTTTAAAAAACATTTTGGGGACTTATGGATGAGGGAGGGTCAGATATTTAATAACTGATAAATTAAAAAAGTTAAAAGCTTTATAACCATTACAACTGTCAACATTACGTCAAAACAAACTAGCCATTTCTCAAGAAGCATTTTTTCTTAGTTTGCATATCTGTAAATTTTAATTGTGTTAACAAAAAATGTTGTGTACACAGGGCAACTGACATTTACCAATCAAAATCTAATTTGTGTAAGTCTATATATATCAGACACTCTTGTTGGATGAAAGTCTGTCAAAATACTACTGGGATGTTTGAGCATTTTGTTTACGTTTGCAGAAGAGCTAGCTTCTTTACTTTGTCAACTGAAAGTGAGAACAGGCATTCATGTGGCACTGTTGTAGCAAGCAGTCATAAGCTATTTACATACCAGATGCACCAGAGATTCACATGCCCATTCATGCTTCAACTACCATTACAAAAGACAGGTCCATACTGCTGATGGGTTCTGCTTGATAATGATCCAAAACAGTGCAGACCAACATGTTAATTTTTATTGTCAGAGTCAGATGCCACCAGCAGAAGGTTGATTTTCTTTGTCATCTTGTGCCTCTCGGATTTTGAAAAGCTCATCAGATTCTTAAAATGTGGTTTAAGTGTTAAGCTATCTTTAGAAATCTCACATTGACAAAATACAAAGACAGTACCAAACCTGCAGTAAAAGTGTTCTTAAAATGAAGATGTGTTGGGTCATCATCCATAACTGCTCCAACATGAAATAAATGGCAGCATGAGGGTAAAAGAGAGCAGCAGGCATACAAGTCTCCCCCAAAGAAATTCAGTCAAATTTAATTAACACATTTTTTTAATGAAATGTGTCATCAGCATGGAAGCATATCATCTGGATTGGTGGCCGAAGCATGAAGGGGTATATGAACATTTAGAATACCTGGCACATAAATACCTTGCAATACCAGCTACAGAATGCCAGGAAAACACATGTACTCATTTTCAGGTGACACTTCATATAAGAAGCAGGCTGCGTTATCACCCATAAATGTAAACAATCTTGTGTGTCCTAAAGGGTTGGCTGAACAAGAGGAAGGACTGAATAAACTTGTAGGCCACTGACACACAGGAAAAAACAAAACAAAAACACCCAAAAAATCCAGCCAGGGCGACAAAAAAGTGACAAGAAAAAAAAGGGGGGGGGGAATCAGTGTGTGGGAGACTACTGCCAGGATGCAGGTTGGGGCTACCGGATCTGGGTGGGTAATAGGGTGCAGGAGTGCTGTTTAACCAGCGGGATTGGAAGGGGAGTGGCAGCATGCAGAGCCACCCCCTCAACAGGCAAGGCTCTTCCGCCCCCATACCAGACAACAGTTTCCCCACCTCTGTTGTAGGTTCTAAAATAAATCTGTTTTGTTTTTTAATTAAATTATGTAACACCAAATGAAAGTCTACATTAGTAAGTTGCACCTTCACAATAGAGTCTGCAATGAATTGAAAAAATGTTTTACAGTGCAAATATTTGTAATAAAAATATGAAGTGAGCACCTTATACTTGAAATCAATATATTTGAAAAATTTTTAAAAAATCCAAAAATCTTTAATAAATTTAATTTGGGATTCTATTGTTTAACAGTGCAATTAAAACAGCAATTAATCGCTATTACTATTATCTGTAGTTTATCATGAGTTAATTGAGGTTAATCAAGAGCCCTATTATAAAAACAAATGTAATACCCTAAAGAGGAATATGAACAATTTTTCATATCCTCCTAATGCAAGTCTGGTAATTTTTTGTGACCATACAAACACCTCACTACAGAACATTTCATTTTAAAATAAAAGATTTAGTTATAACAGACAACACCATTATCAAATCCTTACAGACTCAGACTCATAGACTTTAAGGTCAGAAGGGACCATTATGATCATCTAGTCTGACCCCCTGCACAATGCAGGCCACAGAATCTCACCCACACCCTCCTAGAATAATCCTCTCACCTATATGTCAGATATTGAAGCCTTCAAATACTTTGAAGACCCCAAGATCATAGAATCATAGAATAATAGGACTGGAAGGGACCTCGAGAGGTCATTGAGTCCAGCCCCTCGCTCTCAAGGCAGGACCAAGCTCCGTCTACACCATTCCTGACAGATGTCTATCTAACCTGTTCTTAAATATCTCCAGAGAGGGAGATTCCACCACCTCCCTTGGCAATTTATTCCAATATTTGACCACCCTGACAGTTAGGAATTTTTTCCTAATGTCCAATCTAAACCTCCCCTGCTGCACTTTAAGCCCATTACTCCTTGTCCTGTCCTCAGAAACCAAGAGAAACAAATTTTCTCCTTCCTCCTTGTGACACCCTTTTAGATATTTGAAAACCACTATCATGTCCCCCCTTAATCTTCGTTTTTCCAAACTAAACAAGCCCAGTTCATGAAGCCTGGCTTCATAGGCTTCTCTAGACCTTTAATCATTCTTGTCGCTCTTCTCTGTACCCTTTCCAATTTCTCCACATCTTGCTTGATCTGCTGTTTGGCCTCACTCCCATTCTTTACCCAATTTGGCCCGGACATTGTACCTCCAATATGACCTATTAGACTAGTATCCACCCTACCCTTCCTCATGTACATTCTCCTACCCCCAGCTATATCCTTTCTTACTTCGTTTTCCTCCCTCTCAGTGTTAAAATCCGGCGTAGAGATTACCTGGACATCTCCCAACCGTCTCCCCCAAATTCCTAGTTTAAAGCTCTCTTAATCAGTTGAGCCAGCCTCCATCCTAGAAGTCTATTTCCCTCCCTACTTAGGTGAAGTCCATCCCTAGAGAACAGTCCTCTGTCCATAAATGCCTCCCAGTGACCATACATCCCAAAGCCCTCCTTATAGAACCACTGCCTAAGCCATCTATTGATCATCATAATCATGTCACATCTTAGTTGCCCTTCTCTAGGAACACACAGAATCCCACTAAAGATCACCTGAGCCTCAATTTCCCTGAGCGTCCTCCCCAGCCTAGCACAGTCTCCCTTAATTCGTTCCAGCGAGAATCTAGCCGTATCATTGTTCCTACATGAAGGATGATCAATGGATTCCTTCCTGCTCCCTTAATAATCCTCTTCAACCTCAGTTCCACAACCCGTATCTTAGCACCTGACAGACAGCACACCCTTCTATTCTGTGGATCAGCTCTGGTTACAGGCCTATCTATTCTTCTCAATAAGGAGTCCCCAATCACCTAGACCTGTCTTTTCCTAGTGACAGTGCAATTCTCTTGTCTATCTCTTGCTTCCTCTGGCTGCAAGTCCTTGCCATTCCTGTTTTCCCTTGTAATCCTCTTTAACCCATCCTGTATCCTCCTGATGCTCATTATTGGTGTTGTCTCCATTAACTCTTCCCCTTTATCTATAGGACTAACCACTCTTCTCTTCTTCCTTACCCTTCCATTTTCATCATCTACCTACCCCATCTTCATTCTCCAATTCCACATACCTGTTCTTGAGCTCTTTTTTTCCTTCACTGACCCATCTTTTCCTCTGCCTGGTTCTTAGTCACATGCTTCCACTGTCCATTTTCTTGGCCCAGCACTCTCCCCTCTGAGGCCCTTGATCCTGCTTCCATCTGCATATCTAAGCTTTCCCCTTCAGCCACGTTATGCCTTTGCTCCATCATCTGCTCAAACCCCCTTCTAAACTCGACCAGAGTTTCCACCTGCATCTCCAGTCCTCGAATCTTTTCCTCCACCAGCTCCATCAGGCGGCACTTCATGCAAACAAAACTCCTTTCAGGTACCCCCTCCAGAATCATGTACATACCGCAGCTACTACATCCAATCCTCCTCCTCGTGTGCTCTACTACTTGGGCCATGGCCACTACTGCCTCTGTGTTTTATCTACTTTCTCACCAAAATCCTATTAGTCCGGTGAACACAAAAACAAACCAAAACACCCCCTCCACAGCAAAAACAAACCCCAAACAAGTCCCAATATCCAGCCTACACTGCAGCAACCCGTCCAGAGGTAGGGTGCGAGCTCCCGGACCCAGCGCAAGCTGGGATGCCTGCCTGCCTTCTAAAACACTTTAAAGGCCTCCGCAGGGGTAGGTCCCAGACCCAGCATAAGCCAGGACTGAGCCATGCTGCTAGCCAGCCTGCTAAAAAAATTACTGACAGATGGGTGGGGAAATGTGTGACGTCTACAGTATTATCCTATAAGCTTTTGCTTATCTGTTAATCGACTAGACAATTACATCCCTAGTTAAGACTAGCTGAGGCACAGGGCAGAAGGTTGAAGCCACATTGCCTGAGGTTGAAACTGAAGTCTGAGCTTTTAAAAGGAGGTGAAAGTTGTGGTAGGTGAAACAAAGCAGACTCCTGATGGGTAGGGCAGTCTGGAAGGTTGAGAACCATTGCTTTGTAATAGCAGCTCCCCAACTTCTGGGCAACGTGGCTCACGATTTCACAAGAGAAGGAACAGAAGGGTTTTCACTCTCTTTGCCAAATGAGACGCCTAACGTGCATATTCAGAAGTAACTTTTCAACCATTTGTGCTGTTACTCCCCTTCTAGAAAGAAAGAAAGAAAAATCCAACTTCGCCGCGATGCGCCCCTCAGGAGCACTTCCAAGGGCTGAGTTTGTTCGCATAAACTCAAAAGCAGCAGCAATTTTCAAGACGGGGCCGAGTCTTCTCCTCTGCAACACTCAAGTCACGGAAAGTGACCCTGCATAAGCGACGGGACTCAGCTTTGGACAGCGACCAAGGTCCGGGGCTGAGCGAATGGCAACACGCCCTGACAAGGCCTGGCCGGGGGGGAGGGCTGCGGGGATCGGGGAAGCGCAAGTCGCCCCGCGCTGTGGCCGGGGAAGGCAGCGAACCCGAGCGAGGAAACCCTTCGGGCGGGAAACACAACCGGCCGCAGCAGGAAGCGAGAGCGGCCCGGGAGGGCAGCGGGAGAAGGGGGTGGGTCGCTCCCCGCGCGGCTCTCCCAGCCTGACAAGGCCTGGCCGGGGGGGAGGGCTGCGGGGATCGGGGAAGCGCAAGTCGCCCCGCGCTGTGGCCGGGGAAGGCAGCGAACCCGAGCGAGGAAACCCTTCGGGCGGGAAACACAACCGGCCGCAGCAGGAAGCGAGAGCGGCCCGGGAGGGCAGCGGGAGAAGGGGGTGGGTCGCTCCCCGCGCGGCTCTCCCAGGCTCCCCCCCAAGCA